TTTGTCAAATTGGGTACCTGTCAACTTGGAAAGCACCCACTACCTGCTACTGAGGCTCTGTACCTCATGGCATCCGACAGGATCCAGAGGGAGCCTGGGGAGCTGCACATGGAGGGCTGTGGCCCCCAAAGTGGGCCTGATCTGGACTTCAGAAGCATTAACAGTTCGAGAAGCCAGGAGACTCTAAGCCCTTTGGTTGCCTCCTGTCTCACAAATAATTGGATGACTTTGTGTATGTTACTTACATTCTCTGAATCTCACTTTGTAAAATTTGTAAAATAAGGACGATTTTGCCCATTTTTTCCCCCAGAGGTAATGAGAGAACAGAGACAAGACAGGTCTTAGAGGACCCAACATGGTTCCTGGCACCCAGTGGCTGCTCAAGAAGTATCTTTTGAACAAATAATACATGTAAGATGTTTATCTCAGTGCTCAATCCACAGAATGTTCTCAATAAGTTAAAATTTTACCGTGAGAAATATCCCTAAACTGGTACCCAGCTATGCCGCCTGAGAAAGGATACAAGTCACTCAATCCGAGAAGAAAAATATATCAGCTCTAAGAAGATTTTTTTTTCTTTTACGCCAAACCATGCTCTTGGTTCTAAGATTGAAAATGTACACCAGCAGGAAAGCAAGGTGAGTTCTAACCCTCATTTAGAGTTGAATAGGCAAGAATGGGTCCTCTGTGTTGCCAGGAACCAAAACAATACAGGTTACAAGACAGAACATTTCCCACTTATCTGCTCCACACATAACCTTTTCTATTTCAGTCTATTATTAATCTATAATTATTTTCATTTGTGGAGTTGAGAAATCACAGCAGGAGGTCACACTGCTTAAAGAATTAATTCTTTCCTGAACAAGGAAAATTGGAAAAAATACAAGCCTGAGAGGGAGAAATGCCTTCCTATCTCCTGAGGCGCACCAAGAAGTCTGCGATTAGCTCAGTTTCTAATAGTTTCCATAGCTCTGCTACTGGACATCCTGACCTTTCCTCCACAAGCCTGGTAAGAATTGCCAAAATATAAAACCTCTCCCGCCCTTTGGGGCTCCACTCACTTCTTGGCTAATTGTGGGGTGGGGTGGAAGTGGAGTGAGGCTGAGACTTCCTTTAGACGTGTGTATTTCTTTTGCGTTCCGACATGAAATCTGTTCCTGATATCTCATCCGTCGTTCTTCCTTTGGTGTGTTGCTGCCTGGTCTTCAAATAGAGATGACAGGAAACAGAGCCCCGGTGTGTCCTACCCATCTCTCCAGAGTGATCACCAGCCAGCGCCCTGAGGCTGTCCGTATTGCTGGGGGGACTCACAACGTGTGGCCCATGTGCTGTGACTAACTCAGACCTCATCGCTCAGCATCCACTCAGGAGTACTGCAGTGCTGTGTGCTGTAACTAGAAATACAAGCATTCTTCCACTTCCTTTGGTGACCTATAATGGGAAATTTAACTTAATCTTTCTCTGACTGCCCCTTACAAAAACCCTCCCCTTAAATAAGATTTGCGAAGATTGTGTAGTTTCATTTCAGAGAGGGCAGACAGTACTATTTTGTGATAATAAATATAGTGTACTAGAGTGGAAAAATGCATTTGATGTCAGGGAAAATCTGATCCAAATTCTTTATCTGCCTTTCAACTATGTGGTCTTGGGCTAATTATTTAAACTCTCAGGTTCAGTTTCCTTATTTATAAAATGGAGATAATTGGTAATATCTACTTCACCGGGCGCTGAGTGGATTAAACAGAATAATAAATGTAAAAAGCATAGGACAGTGTTTACTACATAATTGGCTATCACTATATGCCACTCTTTTATGCTTCTTGAATCTTCTAATTTCTCATTACTATGCAGTAGCAGTGATCAACCTATGGCATGGGGGTTCTTTTACTTTTATGATGAAAGATGTTAATGTATGAGGGTTTTTTTTTTTTTTCTGAACCAAAATCTCAGTATTCAGGTTTAACTGCCGTGTAGGCACATTGCTATAAATAAGTGGTAGTTTGGGCAATCCTCTCTAAAAGGTTTGCCATCACCGCAGTAGGGATGGGCCCAGGGCTCCCTAATGATGGAAGTTATAGCACATTTATTTCAAGGGTCCTGCTTTCCCTGTATGCACCCTAACAAAATACACACACCTACAGATGAGAACAATTCCACAATTAGAAAATCATTGCTTCCACATTGGGTTTGTTTGCTATCTTCTATTAAAACACAAATCTTTCTAGGAAGGGAGATACTTTATTGATCAAATAGGCCGGGCGTGGTGGCGCACGCCTGTAATCCCAGCACTCGGGAGGCTGAGGCAGGAGGATCGCTGTGAGTTTGAGACTAGCATGGACTACATAATGAGTTCCAGGTCAGTCTCAACTACATAGTGAGACCCTGTCTCAAAAAAAAAAAAACCATCCAAACAAACAATCAAATAAATAGAAATGCCCATCATGTATAAAGTAACTTCTTTATAAATGGGATTTCTTTGATGTGTATGTGGTACCAGGAATTGACCACAGGGCTTTGCGTATGCTGGACAAGCACTCAACCACACAATTATGTTCCTAGCCCCTTTTATTTCTTAGTTTGAGACAGAGTTGCACTAAATTACCCAGATTAGCCTCAAAGTTGTAATTTTCCAGCCTCAGCCTCCCGAGGAATTGTGATTACTGGTGTGCACCATCATTCCCAGCCTCCTTTGTGGGCCTTCTTATCTCATTTTAAGATGCTTAAGAATCTTGTAAGGTGAGTGTTATACCCACTGACAATATTCAGGTATTTAGGCTTATAGTGATTATCGAAGCAAAAATGGACTAGAATTCACTTTGCCAATTTTTCGCTCATTTTTACACAAAAGGAAGGACATAAATCTTTTTTCTCAGAAAACAATCTGAGAGATTGAAGTAATCAATAAAAAATGAATGTAATTTAATTATTGTTAAAATATCTTGCATGATGGCAAAATAAGCATAGTCTAGGGTAGCGGTGGCAAACCCTACAGCATGCATCTGCAGCCAGCTCTCTGTTACAAGTGAAAGCTCTCAAAGGTTCACCAGCACTGGTGTAGGTTTTATGCAAACACCTTACCAAGGTGGTCCTGACCTTGAAAATGGGCATCTATAAGGACTTCTGGGAATGGTGACTCTTCCTGGAAGCTTTGTCTCTTGAGGACTAATATAGGGTAACAGCTTTGGTAAATGCAGACCAGGAAGCCAACAGCATAGGGGGCTGTACACTCCATGTCCCGGCAGAATGGGGGCTGGAGAGGCTGTTGTTCTCGGGAAGCCTGAGAATAAATGTTAGATGAGGACTTCAGGCAGAACAGTATGTAATCCTCCTGAAAGGTGGGAGTTCACTCGACAGCTTTCATTTCTCTTTGCTAATCAGAGTATGCATGGCTTTTTATCATAGCCATCATTTAGCCATATTCCTGACTACCTTTCCGTATTACACAGTTCACAATAAACAAATGAAGAGGCAAATGAAAAAGCAATAGAAGGGTGGTGACGAACAGCACAGGTTCTAGAATCCAAAAGATCTAGGCTTGAATACCAACTCACTTGTCTGGTGACCATGGGTGATGCACTTGCTTTCTCTCGGCTTCACATTTATATGTGAGTGTGTGTGTGTGTGTGTGTGAGTGTGTGTGTGAGACCATCTTCACTTCACACATAAAGTCAGCATTCAACGGGCTGAATGGGGTAATATGCTGAAGGACAGGTCAATCAATGGTACCTATAATCACCACAGTTTTCTCTAAACTGCGAGCTATTGAGAAGCAGGCACCATTTCGTAGTCATCTTCATATTCCTCATGCTCGATTTAAAGTGATTGCTCAACAAATGAATGCCAATTGATGTTAAAACTAACATAAAAATGAAAAAATGGAAATAAAGTATTTGTAAACAGGGAAGGGAGGAGGGGGTGAAGGGAGGGCAGCAGTAAGGGGAAAAAATAAGAACCAAGACCTGTCATGTAAAGGTATAAGATCCCAATGATGAATGTAACTGTACTGTACACCTAAAATGTACCAATAAACTCAAGAGAAGGAAAAAAACTAACATTAAGAAAACATTTCTAATGAGTTAAAAATGCAGTGTAATACAAAATATGATCAGACCATACATGTCTCCAGTAGCAAAGAATGTATTTTCTAGCAAACGGATGTCTTTACTCATTGCCTCTTAGCTGGTTTGCCATTTACTCATCATTTTAATGAAAGGAAAATCTAAGTCACCATTTATTTTTATTGATGGATGTCATCTGACGTATACATGCTGTCAGATACTGTTACAAAGAGACTTGGATTATTGAGAGCAGCTCTCTCCTGAGCTTCTATGAAAACACTCCAATATCAGGATGCTAGATTCTCTATATACACATCTCTAACCTCATTCCATCCCCTCCAAATCCCCCCCACCTTGCCCAGCCTCAGTATGTGAAACAGTTTGGTAAAGCTGTTCTAGGAGAAAGCAAAATATATCATTACTGCTCTTTAATGACATGGTACTAGATTTCTCTATTTCCTTGGATATGGTGAAGCAAGGGAATAATATTTGCTTCTTCACTAAAATAATTCTAGATTCAAGTAATGGAGAATTTTCAAGAGGGTCATAAATGATAAAGCTTTCACCCCTGGAAAGGGAATTCTTTTGGACTGGGAATTTGGCCTTAGGTGATTTTGTGTGGTTCACTCAGTGAGTCAAAATCAGGTTGCAAAATCCACCAGCAATAATAGTAGCACTGTCCTAAGGCTGAGACATATAAACTTGAAGATGCAAATTATGATAGCACATTCAAGAACAGGAGGGTTTTACTAAACAAATTCTTTGCCCATTTGACCTACAGTGCACTCTGTTTCCATATACACACATCTCACTCATCTCTAACCTTTGTGACCGGCAAGAAACAGATCGGAAAGCAAAAATTATGCACAAACTATAAAGATATGTGTTTTTAAATTTCTTTAATTAATTTACATTTCTTGTTTGAAATTTTACATGGTCTCATCCCAAAACAATGGCAGGTCACAGAATTCTGAATAAGAAATTGTAGCGAGGACGTGGATAGATGGTAAATTAGGTAACAGACGAAGTATGTCCGATGTCAGGGAAGAAATGGTTCCATCATTTGCAAGAACTTCTTGTACTGCCAGTTTAAGATATTGCCCATGCATGGAAATCAAACAAAAAGAGAGAGAAAGGAAGGGAAATGATTAAAATGAAGCTCTTATTTTCTTCTTTTGGAAAACAAAGCACTGTTTCTTCCTGGATTCTGAGTTGTGTATATCTAGTCCAAGTCATGTTCTAACAATTTCCTGTAATTAGAAACATGCACATCTGTGTAAGTCACTGCCAAAGAGCCTAGGTATTTTATTGGCATCGCTAATCCTCCAGTGGCGAAGGGAGCACTGCAGGTGGAAAGGAGGCTTCACTGTGTTTAGGCCCAAGAGGAGGTGTGAGGCTGTACGATGAAGCAAAGACTCGATGCTAAGAAAGCAGAGTCTCCAAACACTTACCTTCACATTTCAGTGAAGTGCACCGTGTCTGAAGTCATTGCTTTTTGCAAATTCCCCCATTGCAGGAGTCCCATCATTCTACAAAACAGAGAGAGGAGAAACTCTGGATAAACGCCTTGTATATCACTAATCTCATTTACATTGTAAAGCATACCTGTTCCTCTAATGAGATTAGGAAATCACATTTCTTTCCATTCCACTGTCAGATCACTAAGGTCTGAAATTACTCTGCCAGTACACATAAGATTATAACTTGGGGTGATAAAGCCAGTGCTCATTTATGGGAACCTTGACACACAGACGGGTGACATAAACTCTCATAAGCCTTCTAAGTACTGGGGCAACTATCACGTGCTCCTATGCCACAAGCAAAACAAAAATAAGCAATTTACCTGCTATAAAAGAGCCTGCAGATATCTCTCAGGTCTTGAACTTGTGGGTCAATATATAGGGCAGATCCAAAAGAAAGGCATCTTCAAGTGAGGTCAGAGGTCCAAGACAACTCATTTTTGCTGAAATGAAAGCTGAGTTTCATCAGGAAAAGTGATGCAGAGCATCAGGAATGAACAGGGCGCTATGCTGAAGACACATTCTGTGGACTTGCTGAGTGGTGACGCCTCTGTACCTAGTACTCAAGTTTCAGTAACTCGTCAAAGGAAACCAACAGCTAATTGAGCAGGAATGAGCTTGTCCCTTCTGGAAAAGGGTATGCTCCTTTCCTCTATAAGCAGGAAAAGCAGGAGTTTTATGGGTAGGGATCACCCTAAAATGAGTCTTCCACTGAAACCTATGATGAAATTTGCTAATAAGATACCACAACATACCCAACAATGAGACCCTGATTTGGAACTAATGAAGCTGATTTCCACCAGCTGTTTCCAAACTGATATTTTTAAAAAGGATCTGTAGGGAAACAAACAGAAAAAGTGATGATACAAGTGTTTAAGGGGGTGTTGGGCATTATTTTCTTTTATTTGTACCTGCCTCTCCTCTCGGGGGTGGAATTGCATTCCTGCAAGAAATGAAGTTAGATTTGCCACTGAGATGGAAGTGATGTCCTGATCGAAGTTGAAGACAGAGGTCATGGTTCAACCTTGTCCTTGTCTTTGTGTGGTGACTGTCAGGTACTAAAAGAAGACTCTTGCAATTCAGGGGTCCCAAATAGAGCACGCTGTGGAGCAGAGCCTCCTGCCAACTCCCACTGGATATGGAGTGTCGTTTAAGAAATAAACAAAAATTTAAGTCAAAAAACTGGTCAGATTTGGAGGATAGTTGGTTACCACTGAACAACCTAGCCATATTGTAGCTGAAACGGCAACCAGAGAGAAAATACACAGTTAAAACTACCTCTCTTCACATTGTTTTGAAGTTAATCAATATAATTAACATTCTTTGATGTTGACTATTTTTCCCCAATACAAAAGTGAAAGCATGCTTACTTTGCCCCACACATTAGAAGTGCCTTATAATCAGCTGACAAACTATGATTTGCCTCATGCATTGTGATCCAAACCTGATGGTTCATTTTCTTCCTTAGTGACTGAAAGATCTCTCACACTGAAGGTAGTCAAGTGAATGGAAAGCAGGTCTACCAATGTGTTGATACCGGCAAAGCGCACAAATGTGAAAATCAAATCAAGTATGTAAGGAAATCCAGTAAATGACCGGCATATTGGCAAGTCTGTGAGTGCTGAGTGACTTGGGCTTTTGGTCTCACACCCAGATCCTATGCTACACAGATCTGCCCCTTGGCTACCACAGGTCCTTGCGGCTTCACAACTTCAGAGGTTTTCTGGATTGGTAGGAAGAAGCTCTGAGTGGCGGTACTCAGGAAGAATAACCGGGAAATAGAAAACAAGAAGGAGCAGACTGTCGAGAGAAGTCATGATGTTTAAAGCCGTCTCCCACCCAGTTCCCCCTCAAAGACATTTTTAGTGATTTCCTTTTGATTATTTTTTAGAGAAAATGATACATAGGTAAGTAAGCAGTATGGTAGGGAAAAGTAACAAACCAACGTCACAATGGCTCTCATAGTTTTCTATAGACATAAAGAGTTAAAGTTACCCCAGATGTGGGAGGAGAGCAGATGGGGCACATTCTGCTGACTTATAATGTTGGATAATAAAATGACCTAAGACTCTATTTAGAGAAATAGAGCAGCTACTCTTGAGCTGTTTACAGACTTAGAAATATCACGATAAGCAAATGCAGGCAGTTCAAAGGAATGATAAAAAAGGACAAGTGGATAAATAATGATCTGATGTTGTTGCGAAAATGTAGTGTAACTCTTGCATTGTTAATACAAACACAGATGACCTTTGCATTTGCTCAACGTTCGTCTTCAAGACAGGAAACAGCAACTGATCTTTATCGGAAAAGTAGAATCTTCCACTCGCTCTGCCGCGCCGACATTATTACAGTGTATGTCAGCGCATAGCAACGCCGCTATCTCTCCAAAGCACATGCTGAAAACCTGATAGGCGGCTGAAAGAGAAGCTTATCCTGGGCATATGCTTTGTGTGTCCCACAGACAGTATGGGCAGAGTTGACGGGAAAGCTGTGTGTGTAGAGTACGGATTGGAGACTGGGGGTGGTGCTCAGAGAGACAGGGGCCTGTAGCTCTATTCTCTGTGTATCCACCAATTTATCATCTTCACAAATTTAAGCATCCTCTAAGGTGACACTTACTGCTCAGTAAACAAGTAAACTTATTAGGGTAGCTAATCAGTTCTGTATTTCAGACATACTATAAACCAAAATGAAAAGAATTGTTTATGAGCTACCCAATATTTTGTGTCATGCAATTTCAAATATCTCAAAAATCTTTTCTATTTCAAACAATGGATTCAGTTCTTTTTTTTCTTTTCCAGTGTATATATAAGTACGCGCACACACACACACACACACACACATGTTCACCCATCAATAAGAAACTTTAAAAATAGATACATTAATGTACAGGCTAGTCAGTTCATAGCAACCTCAGGTAACTGATGAACATTCTTTTCTCATCATTGGATATTTATGTAGTTATTCTGATTGATCATCTTTTTTTTTTTTTGGTACCAGGAATTGAACTTGGGTCCTTGCGCTTGCAAGGCAGGCCACCGAAGCACTAAGCTAAATCCCCAGCCCTATGTAGTTATTCTTATGTATAGTTATATAGTTATTTATTTCCCACTAAAAGAGCTAATCTAAATTGACTTTTCATTTCTCCTTACACAATCCATTTGGTCTGTGCTCCAAAATAGATCTTGATGTGGAACACATTCTGATTGTTTTTATTTATTAAATATTTCTTACCTAATGTAATCCCTGTGGAAATCATCTTCAAGGTTGTTTTTTTTTTCAGCCATTATATAGAGATCGACGGTTTTCCACAGGTTCTACTCTCTGTGTCCCAGCCAGAGAAACCACTTTCCTTTGGAAGGCATTCAGTTTCCCTTTCTAGCTCCCAGCCCTGCTCAAAATGTGTACCCAGTGGTGGTACCGGGGATGCCTTTTTTCTTGTTCCGAATAAATTCATGTGTACATTTCTTGAAGCATTTAGGCAGTAGAAATGTTGCATGACAGAACCAGAAGCAGCGCTGCTGGTATCTCAGTCACAGGTTGGCAGACTTTTCTGTGAAGGGACAGTTGGTACCCATGGCTTTGTGGCAATGAGGGCTCTGAATTACTATTGCAATCAGATAGCACTCCCATGTCAGTAGCCATAAATATAAACAAATAGGTGTGTCCCAACCATACTTTATTTACAATGATAGGTGGAAGGTGGTGATTTGTACCTGGGGGCAGAATTCGGGAGGCCCTGATTTGAACCAAGCTGACACCTATAGCCACTGCAGAGTAGTATGTGGTCCTGATGCAGTCAGGCTCTCCCACAGCCTTCACACTTTCCCCTAGATTTATTTACAGGATATAAGATTTCAGTAGAAAGTTAATTACAGCTTTCTGGATTAGACCGTACTATGGATATTAAGAAAATCACCAGTTTTTCCTGCCCAAAGACACTTATCCTCTGAATATTGGCATTTGATGAAAATGTCACCAAAAAGAGATCGGCATTTAGATGCTTATTCTTTCTTCGCAGTTTAGATATCATTCCATTTAGTACCTTTCACATTCAGGGGCGGGTTAGAGAAATGCTACTAACAATGCAGTGAGTAATACAAATGCAACACTGTAGAGGATTTAAGTCATAGTAACAGCCACTTTTTAAATGGGTGCCTACAATGTGCCAAATACGATGCCAGGGACAATCATATATTAGCTCATTTACCTTATTATACTTTGTAAGTAAGGAAAATAAGGCTCAGCTGCATCCATAGAGTTGCCTAAGATTCTGAAACTAGTAAGAGGTAGAGCTAGATCTTCTGACTCACTCTAATGCATTTTTTTCCCACCGAAACAATAAAGCCTCACTTTGTTGTTCATTACCAGATAGTCTTGATTTCTAACCCAGAAAATAAGCATCAGTGCTTTGGATCTCACTGAGCCCTAAAAATAGCAAGATAAGTATATAAGGTAAGTATGTTTTGGGAAGCCATACTGAAGTCTATGAAGGCAAGGGTCCTAGGGATGGAAGCATTAGTGCCAGTGATGATCCAGAGACTCTTGGCTGGCCTGAGACTGCTTAGCTGAAGAGGCCCTAAGCTGCTTTCCAGACCTGTGTCTTAGGCACACTTGGCCTTTTATGCGAAGTCTACTACTGTGGATGCCACAGCGAAGGAGGGTGTGGGCAGTAAAGGACACCTGGGGTTGAGCAACAGACCAGAGAGACCGGGTTCACTCTTAGTGACGTGGAGAGTTTGGGAAATCCAAGGAGGGCACGGGGACAGACTGTCCAGACCCAACCAAGCATGGAATCCGTCCAAGTATACCAGCAGAGCTGCTGGACAGATGGCTGTATTTTTGATAGCTATTTAGACCGAGGCTGAGGGACTAGGCAGAAGAAATCAACTTCTAGATCGGTGGTGGCTAACATATAGCACACATACTGTGGTGAGCTGTGTATAACACTGAAACCTCTAAAAGGTTTGCCATCACTGTTCTGGATGAATGCAAATACCAAGTTGCCAAATGTTAGCCTAAGATAACATTTTCATTCCACTCTCTTTACTATCTGCAAGGAATTTGAGGAAAACACGTTATGGCTGAGTTCCAAACTGATCCATTAGCCATCAGAAGAAAACTTGAGGTAGGTGAATTTGCCTGATGTCGACTCACAATAAACCAGCCATAGGTGCCTTCATGGGAAACTGCATTCAAAGCCAATACCTGGAAGCACTACTGAGCATGAGCGGGTGTGTATCTAGGGATTAGCCTCTGGGGCAGGGAGAAAAGGAGAAAGGCTTGACTCTTGTATTCAAATAGGGCTGAACCTATATCTTTAAATCATTTGAACCCTTGCCCAAACATATGTTTGCTTTCATGCAGACCAGACCTCGTAAATCTTGGCATAATCTGTCAGCAAATGGAGAAATATACTGCCTTATGTGGTGGTCTAATAAAGATGAAATGCTTCTGATGAAGTGTGAGGTCTCCTCAATTACCTGTCCTTCACACAATAACCTTTCAAACAGGCTAAAAATATAACAAAAGATTATTGCTAAAGGCAGAGGGCTTGATACCTCCCAGGCAATGCCACGCCATAGGCCACCCCCAGGAGCAGTGTCAGTCAGAGAGGGTTAGAGAGTGGTGCTGCTACTAAGAGGGCTCTCTTGAGTGCACTCGTGGGGCCTGAACAGCCTCCTTCGTGGACAGTGCAGCTCACAGCTGATACTGGGTCGCTTGGGACATGTCCAAAGACCCTCCAAAGGGCTTCCCAGGTGATCCAGCACATGGAAGTGTAAATGAGAGAGTAATTTAAACCATGCGAAAGTTTGGCTTCTTTTTCAAAACTACAGGAAAGCTTTGTTATATCATAGTTCATTGTAACACAGATGCAAACAATGTGCCGTGAGTTAAACCAGCTCCCCTGACACATAACAACTGCATTTAGTCACATGTGATGGGGCATGATTAGCATGTAACATGAAAGCCATGAGACATTCCATTCTCATATCAGTTTGGCCAAGATCAGAAGCATTGACAACACCTGGTGCTGCTAAGGTTGGAGGCACCTGGAGCGTCTTACATGGTGGGGGGGAGTGATCTCACATGACTCTTCTGGGGTATATTGCAATATGCTCAAAGATACAAAATCTCTACATCTTTTCTTCCAATGATTTCACTTCCGGGGATTCATTAGGGGGAAAAAATGGGTCACAAGCTCAAAAATGA